TTCTACCGAATTTGGAACCAGAGACATCACATTAGTAGAGTCGTACATACTTCGCGACTGGAGCGACAAATCGCTGGAGTCTAGCGGGTGACAGCGCTCCACCGCTAGCCGTTGGACCGTTGCAACTTCTAGCTCGACCACCTTCGAATCGATTGTTCCCGTAAGGTTAGGTAAAGGTTAATAATTTAGGTATGGGAGAAAAAGCACTCGAGGGAGATGTGTGAAAGGTTACTTACGACATAGATGTGACCCCACGCGCCCACCTCAACAACGTTTGCACTGGATATGAAGTCTAATGGATGAGCAGTAGTGCATGACAGAAAAATGAAGGCAAGTGTGTCTGAATAAGAAATTGCAGCGGTCCAACATTAGCGGTGGAGCATCATCGATGACGGTCGCACGAACTGAACTCTGAAAAAGTTTCCAAGTCATTTTGGCAAGCAAGACAGCCCGCCAGTCGATTCGTACGTCCTTGGCTTCTAAGCTAGCAGGGTCGATCTGCACTTGAGAAATCATATGGGCTGTGATGACGTGTTCCTAGCAGGATGCTCGAAGCAGGCTTTTCGCAGAATAGTCGGACAGGTTATAACGCAAACGAGGCGAGGGCGTTGTTCGGCTTGGGAAGGACATTTAGCAGAGTGCTAGCTTTTTTTGCTAGTTCTTGGTAAATTACAGTTTTATCTTGATGACACGTGTAGACTCCTGTCAAATGTAAACGAAGCTCGTGCTAATGTACAGCTTTACAGGAATTTACAGTACAAGATGCACTGACAGGAAACGATGGGAACTTGTAAAATGCCCCCACCAAGCCGAACTTTGCCGAGGCGAGAAACGCTTATCAGCAAATCAGTGACGAACAGTTAAGAATTCAAAGTGTGTACGTGCATAACCAGTTCCACCCGCGGTCACGAGCGGCAGGCACTGCTGCGCGTGAAATCTCGGGTGACTCACGTTGCCATGATAGCGGCAGCTGCCCCTGCCGGCGCCTGCAAGTGACAGATCCTGCTGCTCCCGTGCTCCAATCGCTGAGCTTGAAGAAGTAGTTTGTTGCAGCTTATGATACTTTGGACTTTTCTTTACAGCCTGGATTTTGCTCGTCTATGTGAGACCTGTTCTAACGACGCGATCTCTCTTTCTTCGTTTTTATTCCCACTGAAAAGTGGTCTGTGAGCACGAGGCAGTCGTCTCATCACTGTTATGTTAAGAGCTCTATCACTGAGAACTTTCCATTGTTCCCGGCTTCCCGCTTTCTGAGATATGAGGCCCAACAGCGGGTCTTATGGTGGAGCTTTCCTAAGATCTTTCAGTTTTTTTTTTGTTTTAATTCGTAGTAAAGAATTATTTAATTAGAAGACATTGTATTCAGTCAATAGGCGATGAAATATTTGGCAAAGGAGTCAACAATTGGACACCATAATCCCATTTCATTTGTAAAAAATCTTGCATGGCCATCAGCTCGGCGTTCAGGTTAAAAAAGTAAGTTCTGTGACATGGCGGTTTTTGTCGTTTTCTGCACCAGCTTTCATAAACGTCTCGCTTTCTTTTTCTCTCTTCCACTTCGTGAAAGGTTATTTTGTACTACTTATTTACTAGTTAACATTGGTTGCGTAAAAAACACTTCGTAGTGGTAATCGCAGTTCGTGATAACAACCGGTGTGGCAGGCACGTCAACAAGACAATTCGTAATCCTGCTGGCTGCGCGTGGCAAGGGCGAGGTCGGCGGCGGTGAAAGATGAGGCTGTCCTGACCGCCGGTTGCGAATTTAAACTTTGACGGAGCAGGTAAAGATAGACTTGAGCGGACTTAGGCCATTCAACGATTGAATTATCACCTCCTTTTGATTTCACATAAGTTCCGTGCTCCAGGTCGATAGCGCGCGCTATAGTGCTGCAAGTTATTATACGGATTGTCTTGTCCTTCTCCCGGTTATACGGACTTGGGAAAGTCGTCCTTAACTTTCATGACACATACAACATGTTCAAGCACAATTGTCAACACGTGTTGTCAGATTGCATAATCGCCGAGTTCTGCATCATTTCTTTGCTAAATCATTTAGGTCCTGATTAAGATACCCCGCACGTGACGTCATGTCGCTTTCCGGCGTCGCATCGTAACTAGCCCGCGCTACACTCCCTGCAATCTTCACGTGGTTCAGGTATCCACGAGGGTGTAATTATCCCATCAATCCGGAATTTGAGAAAAAAGTTCTGTAGCTGATCGTTCTTTGAGATCCGTGACCTAGTCTATCGTAAGAATAAATCACGTGTAGGTAAAAAAAAAAATCGTGACAGACCTGTCTCAGTGTGCGACACCTGTTTTCTATGACGAATTTCAGCATAAAAAGTGCACCACTTCAATGAACCGCTTGATTTTCACCGTTCACTCGACTAGGCACTCCTCTGTAGTTTCTCATTACTCATCTGAATGTGTATCAACAATGTGAAACTCCAAAAGTTTATTCCAAAAAACTCAAAAGACAGCAAAGAGTCTCAAAAGTTTTTTAAAATATATCTTATCTGGCTATAGTAATGAGACTCCGGGACAGCACCATACTCCGATGACTTACGACTTTGTCTTATCGAGGCTGCATAGACAATATTTTAGCGATTTCATTTGCTGTCTAGAAGTGTTGATGTTCTACTAGCAACATCCATTAAGAGAGTCTTGATTGCTTCCTACTAATCTGTTCTTTTTGTCGCCTAGCGTATACGTGATTACCGTCTTTTTTGTCGCTCCTAGTGTGTCTTATTCCCTTTGTACAACTAGTAAACTAGCATAATGGTAACTATTCAGTACTTTTCATTGCGATTTCATTGTTGCGCAGGAAAGGAATTTGTTTCACTTGCAGAGAACATTCGAAAAAGTAGATCTTCGCTGGTTCTGGATTCAGAGCAGTCCTCAAAGACTTTCCTTCTATAGGCTTTCCTAGTTACTGATTAATGTGAACAAACTATAAGAGCACGGAACTAGTTTGGTGACAAGGGCTCGGCATGCTTGCAGTCAAATCCCAAATCGATTTACGCGTGAAGATCGAGCCTTTCATCTTTTAAGGGCCGGTAAGTCAGTAGCAGACCCGTCGGCTTAAGTCTGCGTTCATAGTACTTTTCCAATCGGCGTTTTGGGAGAATTAGCGTTTCCGTTCGTTAGCGCTTTGAGAGAATTGGCATGGTGGAATAGCCAGCATTTTGAGCGTGGATCGATACTTTTACAATTTTTTTTCACTCAAATGTTGATTCTCCCAAAACCGCGAGTCGCAAAGTATATGTGTGCAGCCCTCTGGATCAGGTATACCACGCGGCAGAGCGACTACGTTTCGGTCTGGGAGGATAGACTGCATCGTTCCTCCCGTCAACTGTGCTATATTGAAAGAGAGACACAGGGGTCTGACGCATACCCCTTTCATCAGAGTGCGTTCATACTTCGCCACTAGTCGCTCGATGAGAGCCCTTTGGGCAACTGCACGCCAAGCTCCTGTTGAGCGACTGTGAGTTTCGCATCTGCAGTTTCCAGCTTTCGCTGAGCGTTCGTATCGAGGGACTAGTCGCCAAGTGATTGCGTTCATAGTCCCAAGTCTCGGCAGACTGACGTCCAGACTGGTGCGATTTCCTGGCTAGTTGACGTAACACACGCGATACTGCTTCATCAAATGATTGGGTCCCTGTGCAAATGGCGCACGTGCTCCCACTGCTCCTCGCCATGCTTGCCGCTACGCGGAAGTAATGATATAGGTACCCGGAACTAGGTTGGCGACGACTTGTCTGGGAAGGTAGAGTACACAACGCGTCCATTCCAGTAAGGCATTGATGAATGCCGGAAACTTTATTCTTCTAGTTAAAAATAGCGCCGGTATATCCATTGAAAGGTCGTCTGCACCACTTTTGACCAACAATCATTATACCTGCAAACGACACGGCGTTGGAAGGGCGTGCCTTGGAGCGCAGGCAGGGCGGCCTTCTCCACCAGCTGTTGAGGCTCAGGATGGCATCAGCTGGGGAAAAGGCCGCAATGGCTGAGCTCCAATCCATTTTCCTCACATGTCCTCCCTGTTCTCTCGTTTGCGAGGAAAATCACTGTACATATATAATCTTCGGAACATTTTTTTACCGTAACATACTTCTGGAAGAGCTTGAAACTTCGGTTTTCTCTGTTTTTTCTTGAACTTTGTTACACTCATTCTCCTGAAATCTATAGGAAACAAACATATCTGACGTCCTTGATTTTCTGTAGTTCTTTTATTGATTCGTTGTAGATATCATCAATCGGCGATAATGTCGACGATATCAGCGATGAGATCCGTTCTTTTAGTGAAAGATTCGATTACGTATTCACTACTGGTGGCGTAGGACCTACGCATGACGACAAGACTTATATAGGTTAGTTGTGATTCACACAGTTCAAATTTCCATTGTTTTTATCAGGGATATCTCCAGGTCTTGCACGAGCGTTCAACGAAGACCTACGAAGATCTCCAGAGATCGTCGCGGCCATCAAACGTTACTTTCCTGCGGGACAGTTGTCAAACGAGCACAGCTCATTTGTTGACAAGCTGAGCATGGTAAGTCGGTTTCGCTAACCATTATAGTCTTGTTCACTGCGGACGTTTGGGCGTGTCGGAAGTTTTTCCCTATTTGTAGTCGCTTATCCGCCTCACGACTCAGGATCCGCAGCGAACAAGGCTGTACTTCTTTCATTCCGCAAATACACGTCATGGTGTACTTTCACAATCCGTCACACCTCCTTAGCGCGTGACTTTTTAGAAGAGGCGGTGATTTTACACTCGTCTTCTTACACGTCTATTGACCAGGCGCTGTGAGGCTGGAAAACAATTTTTGCACTGCAATTTGTGCTGATGACATCATAGTTCAAGTTAGAAATAGGATTCTCATTGAACTGGCCGCAGTTCTTGGGCCAGAGCTTCTATAAATATTGCTCATCTTTTCAGTTGTCACTCCCTGGCCAAATTGAAGGGCATGGGGGATTGGCCACAACCCCGTGAAGAGGCTACTGGAGAGAACATAGCGAAATAAGTTGATGGGTAGAATATCTACATAAAGCTGCATTTATAGGCTTTTTTTTTTTTTCGCCGTAAGGCGGCGTTTCTCCGATCGCCCGAAGCACTGAAAGCTCTGACAAAAAAGTATCGAACGGCAGCTCTCACTGCAGTATATAGAAAAAGAGATCGTGCTCGCCATTGAAAAATTTCCATACTACATTTCCCCAGCCCCCCCCCGCTCCGCGCCATCAAGAGTTCCTACTTCCTGGTACGGACCCTCGCCCTTCCCCATCCGCCTTACGCATTTCATCATACTGTCTACGCACTTTTACGAGATTTTCTAAAATTCCCCCACGTCTCCCAGAAACTGCCCATGAGGTGGGTGGTATCGGGGGGGGGGGTACAGCTCGCTTACAACAGGAAAATCCAGGAAAAGTCAATAACCGAAAGCATTTTTCTCAATGGCAAACACGACCTTCTAGGGATCTCAACGTGCGACGTGTGCTGCATGGAAACTGGCCGTCAACGTCTGGTGGAAGGTTACATCCCATTGCGACGGAGACTGCATTGCCAGTGATGCTACTTCCACGGGATTCTTTCCAGGACTTAATTAATTTGCGTTCGAAGTGCTAGAATGTCGAGTCCACTATCTGCTAGATCCCAATTAGTTTGTGTGCGACATCTGAACGTATATGCAATGCTCCGCGACCTCCTCCACCCCCTTCCCCCAAGAAACATCATTAAAGTTCAAACTTTCTATTTTTACTGCGGACGTAAAAGCCGATCATGTATGAATTTCAGATTCCCGCCTCTGCAGAATTACTTTGGAGTAAAGAAGCTGATGGGAGACCTTCAAATTTCCCTGTTGTAAGGACGCGAAATGTGGTCACGCTACCCGGTGTTCCACGTTTCTGCGAAAAAGCTTTTAAGGAATTGAAGGCAAGTGTTATCATGTTTCGCTCGCTGTTCCTTTGCTCTCCTATGAGCTTTCTTCTTGTGAAACCTTTTCCTGCACGTTTCACTGACACCATTGCTATCAGCTTTTTTCGTGGTTAACTCACCTTTTTTGGCGCTGTTTGCCTTGGAGCTAGGCAGGGGAGTGCATTTAAAGGCATGTTCCGCGATAAACTAAGACCATGACCCTCTAATGAGTCAAATGACCCATTGCGGAGGCTGTGCTTCATTCAAAAAACAAAAATTCTCGAAAGCTCCGTAGGAAGCTGAACAAGTAGGCTCAAGAGCGCCCTTCAGGCGCAGGCTAACCCCCATTGGCTGCTAGCTACTATTTAGTAACCCCTGTGTTAGTCCTAACCATTCCGGATGGTGACGTGGGGTGATAAAGGAAAGGCTGAAATTGTTTGATAACAATGAGTGGATATTTTACAGGGCACTTCGAACGGTTCGTTCTGCTTTTTTTTCTTCACTAATCAGCCTGCCTAGCACTTTGTCGTTCGTATTTGCTCTCCATTACCCACCATCCATGGTAGTGAGCTTTGCCTTCAGAAGACTGCTTACGCAAAATTGTTGTAAGCCTGAGAGACCCGGATGCTCCAAATCAAAATGCTCCAACCTCTCACCACTTATGGAATTGCGCCGGGTTAAGCCGATATGTGCAATGATCATTATTCTACGGAGGCCGTACATTGCTTTCGTTCAGCGTTAACGGCACACACGCTAGCTTATCAGCTCTCGCACATCTAGGAGTGAACTACCCAAGCCTCATCGAGGGAAGACTTCATCCGCACGTGTAACACTGGTGATGTCTAGACAGGAGTTGAAAGCTACAAAATCGCTTGATGACTAGTCGTGCACTCATGTCCGGTGTTCATACCTTGAATTCACGTGTGAATGTTTTTCTAGTACCTTGGCTGTGTTGTGTCCATCATTCGAAGGGGGGGGGGGAGTGAGGAGAGGGGGGGGGGCACAAAGGAAGCAGAAGAAGTGCTACTAGTGGGGTCATTCATTTCAAGGCTCAGCTCACTCAGTGGCAGTGCTGCAGCGCGCCATCTTGCTAGCAAATACTCTGCTAGGTTACGCTTGGTACCGCTCCTCGGACGTCATCAGCTACTTCCGGGACATCTCCTTTCTCAAGTTCTTCCGATTTGCTTTAACTAGCCTGGTGCGATGGGGCGTTTGACCGGGTTAGCAACAAGACGACGGTTTCGAACCCCTTCCAGACCACGACAGAAGGCTGCGGTCAACCTTATCCACACACTGCTGAGGTTCATGGAGAGCCCTTCTCGGCTATTCTTCTAACTGGTTTAGAAGACTGTGGGCTAATCAATAACTCGATGATTTGACGATGAATAATTGCAATGTCCGACGTATGTGGGGGAGGGTTACGAGAAATCACTCACTGAGCATTCAGACACCGCAACTCTTGCTATTTGGTCTTCATTTAATCGAGTCTTGCCTGATTGATAATATTCCTTTGTCTCGGTATCGAACAAAGTCGTTCGTACTTCTGTTATTTCACGCTGCGAAATGAGCTGCTGGGTTGCCTAGAGGGAAAATCTTGCCACCTTTCAAGAATTCGGTCGGAAGCTTCAAGTGAAAATATGCCTCTTTATGGGTTGTATAGTTGGAAACTTCACTTTTTTTTACTCTTGAGGCGACAAATAAACCCTCTGATTTGCAGCTCCCACAAAAGTTGTATTACTGATCATACTCAAGTGTTTTAGGGCCAACTTTTCCCTCCGTCCTTGAAGCCCATGTTCTCAAAAACAATCTACACATCGAAAGATGAGGTGAAAATTGCTAATGATCTGGCGGAGATTGCTTCGAAATGTGACGGAGTTGTGGAAATCGGGTCCTACCCTGTCATGGCGAACACGTACGGCTTGTTTTTTTGTTGTTTTTTTTAGTGAGAGATGTAACAGTGAATGTTTTTCTGCAGTTCGAGTATTTTCATCTATTTCCAGGTTTTTCAAAACAAAACTTATAGTTGAAAGTGAGTCTTCGGAATCAGGACAAGCTGTTACTGACGCGATCTACGGCATTTTAGAAGGTTAGCGGATTAGCAGCATTTAGCTTTTCTATTCTTGCAGCATTG